AGTCTGGGTTCAATTCCCAGGCACAGACCTACATCACTTGTCGGCAGCCATGCTGTGGTGGCATCCTGCATACAAATTAGAGGAAGATTAGTACAGATACTAGCTCAGGGCGAATCTTCCTCAAGCAAAATGAGGAAGATTGACAACAAATGTTAGCTCAGGACAAATCGTCCTCAGCAAAAAAAAAGAGAGAGAGAGAAGAGTCAAATAGATAAAATCAGAAATGAAAGAAGAGACATTACAACAAATACCACAGAAACACAAAGGATCAAAAGAGACCACTATGCGCAATTATATGCCAACAAATTGGATAACTTAGAAGAAACAGATAAATTCCTAGAAACATACAACCTGCCAAGACTGAATTATGAAAAAACAGAAAATCTGAATAGAACAATAACAAATAAGGAGAGTAAATCAGTAATGAAAACTCTCTCAACAATAAAAGCCAAGGACCAGATGGCTTTAGAGGTGAATTCTATAAAACATTCAAAAAAGAATTAATACCATCCTTCTCAAAATCTTCCCAAAAAATTGAGGAGGAAAGAACAGTTCCTAACTCATTTTAACAAGGCCAGCATTACCAACTGTTACCAAAGCCAGAGAAGGGTACTACAAGAAAAGAAAATTACAGGCCAATATCCCTGATAAACATATATACAAAAATCCTAAAGAAAATACTAGTGAACAGAATTCAACAGCACATTAAAAAGATGATATGACATGATCAAGTGAGATTTATCCCTGGGATGCAAGGATAGTTCAACATATGCAAATCAACAAATGTGATACACCACATTAACAACATAAAGGATAAAAATCATATAATCATCTCAACAGATACAGGAAAAGCATTTGACAAAATTTAACATCCTTTAATGATAAAAACTTTCAACAAACTGGGCAGGAAAGGAATGTACCTCAACATAATAAAGACCATATATGACAAGCCCACAGCTAATATTATACTCAATAGTGAAAAGCTGAAAGCTTTTCCTATAAGATCAAGAACAAGACAAGGATACTCACTATCACCACCTCCATTCAACATAATACTGGAAGTCCTAGCCAGAACAATCAAGAAATAAAAAGAAATAAAAGCATCATATTGGAAAGGAAAAATTGTCTCTATTTGCATAGGACGTTATTTTATATAGAGAAAATCCTAAAGACTCCACTAAATAACTGTTAGAACTAATAAACGAATTCAGTAAAATTGAAGGATACAAAATTAACATACAATAATCAGTAGCATTTCTATACACAAACAATGAATTATCTGAAAAAGAAAGAAAGAAAACAACCCCACTTACAATAGCATCAAAAGCCATAAAATACTTAGGAATAAATTTTACCAAGGAGGTGAAAGATCTCTACACTAAAAACTACAAAACATTGATGAAAGAAATCACCAATGGAAAGGTATCCCGTGTTCACGGATTGGAATAATTAATATTGTTAAAATGTCCATTTTACTCAAAGTCATCTATAGATTCAATGGAATCCCTATCAAGATTCCAACAACATTTTTTACAGAAGTAGGGAAAAAATCCTAAAATTTACATAAAACCAAAAAAGACCCTAAGAAGTCAAAGCAATTCTGAGAAAGAAGAACAAAGCGGGAGGCATCACACTTCCTGATTTCAAGCTATATTATAAAGGTATAGTAATCAAAACAGTATAGTAAGGGCAGAAAAACAGACAATACATCAATGGAACAGAATCAAGAGTCCAGAAATAAACTCATGAATACAGTCAACCAATATCTGACAAGGGAGAAAAGAATACACACTGGAGAAGAGAGAGTCTCTTCAATAAATGGTCCTGGGAAAACCAGATATTCACATGTAAAAGAATGAAGCCAAACCCCTATCTTACACCACTCTCAAAAATTAACTTGAAATGGACCAAACACTGAAATGTAAGACAGGAAGCCATAAAACTCATAGAAGAAAAGGGGAAAAATCTCCTTGACATGGGTCTTGGCAATGATTTTTTGGATATGACACCAAAAGCACAAGCAACAAAATCAAAAATAAACAAGAGGGACTATATCAAACTAAAAAAGCTTCTGCACAGCAAAAATAAGAAAAGAAAGAAATCAACAAAACGAAAAGATAATCTATAGAATGGGAAAAAATATTTGCAAACAATGTATTCAATAAGTTGTTAATATCAAAAAAACATATAAATAACTCAATAGCAAAATCCAATCCAATTAAAAAATGTGGGGCTGGCCCAGTGGCGCTCTGCTTTGGCAGCCCAGGGTTCGCAGGTTCAGATCCCAGGTGAAGACCTATGCACCATTCATCAAGCCATGCTGTGGTGGCATCCTACATATAAAACAGAGGAAGACTGCCACAGATGTTAGCTCAGCGACAATCTTCATCAAGCAAAAAGAGGAAGATTGGCAACAAATGTTAGCTCAGGGCCAATCTTCCTCACCAAAAAAAAAAAAAAAAAAAAAAAAACCAAGGGCAAAGGACTTGAATACACATTTTTCCAAAGATGATATACAAATGGCCAACAGGCATATGAAAAGGTGCTCAACATCACTAATCATTAGGAAAATGCAAATCAAAACCACAATGAGATATGAGCTCACGTCTGTTAGAATGGTTATCACCAAAAAGACAAGAGATAACAAACGCTGGCAAGGATGTAGAGAAAAGGGAACCCTTCTTCATTGTTGGTAGGACTGTAAATTGGTACAGCCGCTAAAGAAAAGAGTATGGAGGTTCCTCAAAACATTAAAGTAGGACTAACATATGATCCAGCAATTCTACTTCTGGGAATGTATCCAAAGGAAACAAAAATACTATACCAAAGAGATATCTGCACCCCCATGTTCATAGAAGCATTATTTACAATAGCCAAGACATGGAAACAACCTCAGTGTCCATTGATGGATGAATGGATAAAGTTGTAGTATATATATATAAATGGAACATTATTCAGCCATGAAAAAGAAGGAAATCCTGCCATTTGAGACAACAAGACAGACCTTGAGAGCAATATGCTGAGTGAAATAAGTCAGACAGAGAAAGGCAAATATTGTATGATCTCACTTACATGTGGAGTCTAAAAACAAAGGAAAAAACTAAACTCATAGAAAAAGAGATCAGATTTGTGGTTATAAGAGGTGTAGGGTTTGAGGAAGGTGAATTGGATGAAGGTGCTCAAAAGATACAAACTTCCAGTTATAAGATCAGTATTAGGGATGTAATATAAAACATGATGACTACAGTTAACATTGCTGTATGGTACATATGAAAGTTATTAAGAGAGTAAATTCTTAGAGCTCTCATCACAAGGAGAAAAAACATTTTTTTCTTTTTCTTTTCTTTGGTATCTATATGGGATGACAGATGTTAACTACACTTATTGGGGCAATCATTTCACAATTAAAAAAAAGTTGTGGTGTGTGTGTATATATATATATATATATATATATATATATAATGGAATATTCTTCAGCTATGAAAAAGAAGGAAATCCTGCTCTTTGTGACAACATGAATGGACCCTGAGAGCATTATGCTAAGTGAAATAAGTCAGACAGAGAAAGACAAATACTACATAACCTTACTTATATGTGGAATCTAAAAAGCAAACAAACTCACAAGATCAGATTTGTGGTTACCAGAAGTGGAGGGTGGGGGGATGGGGAATTGGATGAAGGTAGTCAGAAAGTACAAACTCCCAGTTATAAGATTTACAAGATAAATAAGCAGTAGAGATGTAATGTACAACATGATGACCATAGTTAACACTGGTGTATGTATATCTGAAAGTTGTTAAGAGAGTAAATCCTAAGAGTTCTCATCAAAAGGAAAAAAAACCTTTTTTTCTGTATCTATATGAGATGATGGATGTTAACTAAACTTAATGTGGTGATCATTTCACAATTTATGTAAGTTAAATCATTATGCTGTACACGTTAAACTTATACAGTGCTGTACGTCAATTATATCTCAATAAAACTGGAAAAACTGAAAAACAAATTAAGAGTAATTAAAGACCAGGAGTTCTCTTCTACTGAAACAGTAGGATAAAGGTAAGTATGTATATTAACTATTGCAGGTAAAGAAAAAGCCATTTAGTCATTCCTTTGACAAACGTTTATTGAAAGAAAATTTTCAAGTACTGTGCTCAGATAAACAGAAAACAAAGATAAATAAGATGTAATCCTAGCCCTTGAAGAACTTGAAATATAAGGAGGTCACAGAGTAACATAATTATTTTAATGTCAGAACAAAGTGCTATGGGAATACTATATACAATAAGTTCATCTTTGCAAGGTGAAAGATGTGTGAGGTTTTCCATAAAAGGAAGAAAGGAATTAAATGCAAGAAACAAAGTGAACAAATGCAGAAAGGCTTGAAATTGAAAGTGCACATTATCTAGGTTGTTGCAGAGTAATGAAGAGAACAGGATTTGGACTCATGCAAAATAGACTTAGGTTTAATTTCTAAGCCATTTTACATTTTCACTCTGTGATCTTAACCTAACCTCTGTAAAAATGAAGATAATAAGTATTTTTATAATATTGTTGTAAAGATTAAGTTAGATGGGAGTAGGGTACTAAGCACAGTGCCTGTTGTATAGGAAGCAAAAAAGGATAAACAGTATTTGTCATTTTAAAGTGTGAGTCAATTCACTTTACAAATTTCAAAACACCATAGAAATATAAAGCATTTTTTTCTGAAACATGATGAACAGCTAAAAAAACACATCTAAATATATAAGCATTTTATAATATATGAGATAATATTTCTCAAATACTTATAGTGTATCTAAAAGCACGCCTACTCTTAAAGTGTACATATATATGTGTTTAATATTTAAACAAGGGAATATGCTAAATACTTTTGTGGGGAAAAAAAGCTAATCCCTAGTTGCCCAAATTTATCATATTATTTTCTAATATGACACACTTATAAAAATGTGAAGTTGCACCTAACCTTACAATTACTTTATCTATAATGTCACAAAACTTACTTTTTCTTCTCTTTCTATTTCAAGTTGTTTCTTGACAGATGAAAGTTCATTTTTGAGATTGGATAGTTCAATCTCCTAAAGAAAAAGAAACATGAAGTCTATAAGTGCATCCATATATTTCTCATGACAATGAAAATGCAAAGTAGGATTACAAATAAACTTAGTTTTATAGAGAAACAAATTCACTCATAAAATATATACACTTTAAAAGCCCACTAATATGAAAGCTGCTAGTGGAACATAACTAAAGATTTCATTTAGATAAACTTTTCATAATTTTCTCTAAAGAAATATTTAATACTATTGTATCTCTCCTCTTCATCCTCTCCTAATCTCAGAGCTCCAAACTTATCTTAACTGTAGTTTATTGCTTTTCATTTTAGAAAGAGTTCATACCACCATTTCAAAAACTATATTGGAAAACCACTTAACTATAAGTTCTATAAGTTCCCTTTCAGATCTAAGATTCTTTGATTCTATAGCTCAAACATTATGGTTTTATTTAATATTATTCTTTACCACCAGCCATACTGACATGAAAATTGGCTTTTACTGCTATTTGTTCTTTATCTCACCAAAGATGCTTTCATTGATGACTGTTCTTGTTCCTTGCTTTTATAAAGTCCTAACTCTGAGTCTCTTTCTTCAACGATTTTATCATATTGGTGCTACATTAAACAGAGAAAACATTTAGGTAGATTAGACCCCAAATAGATTATCTCTTAATAAGGCCAATATCTTTATGATTTAATATTTTCAGAAAATGATGCTTATGAATTCAGTAATATATATATTTGAACATATATTTTTAATTTTTCAATTATATGTTTAATCAAACATAAACAATGAAACACAGATAACAGTCTTGAAAATAATCTAACACAAGAGCAAGAAATAATTCTTTTTAATTAGAATCACTGAATTTCACAATTTAAAAAATAGGCTAGAAACACCAGAACCTCTTAGAAAAGCGGCTGATTCCAGATCTTGGGCAAGAAACACAAGATGAGTCTTGAACATTTTGTCATCACAGAAAGGAAGAAAGCTATCAGAGACTATTAGGGTCAAGTCAAAGGACTTGCCAGCCACTTTAAAGAGGCTCCCACTGGCCAAAGATGAGACAATTTGAGTATAAACAAGGATGAAAACTGAACTACACTGAGACATACCAAATATGTTTAAATCTATGAGTTCAAATGTCACTTAAAATATTTTTTCAAATCCTCACTGGCTACCTCATAATAATGTTATATCCCAGCAACAAATTTTAAAGATGAATAGGTAGGTATAACCCACCTACTCTTCAAATCTTGAAGAGAATAAGGCTTAATTCCCTAACAAAATGATTATTTTAAAACAACAATAAAAAAATAGGGCACACCTGCAAACACAACAAAAATTAAGCCTTTCATCTATTTATTCCATTGACAAAAATTCGTTTAGGCTAGTATGTGTTAGCCACATGTAGAGGATACAAATATTAATGAGATAAATGTCCTGGGTACGTACTTGAATAAATATAAGGTGGAAAGTACTGTAAGAGGCAACTAGGTAAAATTCAGAAAAAGTGATTACTTCCATCCATCATAGATGATGAGAAGAGATTTCCTCAAGGAAGTGACACCCAAGCTCAGCTTTGTTTGGTTAAGATCAAACTTTGAGAAACGGAAGATCAAGGGTATTCCAACTATAACTAGTCATTGTTGCATAGACAATAATTCTCTCTGACAAATCAGAGTGCTACCTTGATTTCACCATTTTTATGTTTAAATAAAGCTCTGATTAATAATTTTCATTACACATTAGAAAAGAAAAAAATTACCTTATGCTTTTCCATAAGTGCTACCATTTCAGCTATTTTATGTTGACATCGTATATCAATTTCTTTCTGTAATTTTACTGCTTCATCAGCTATTAGTTTTGCTTTCTCAACCTTTCAAATAAATGAAAAGCGTTTCTTAAAATTAATGCACAAAAAAAAATTTAACCTAAATGTGAAGACCACATAAAACACAGAAATCAAACATGAGAAAATTAGAAAAGCAAGTAGAAAACGCATTAGTGTTTTGGTTTATTTCAGGATGTTTTGATCTATCAAGTGAGAATGACAGTATAACACCGTAATGATCATTTAATCTTTTCAAAATAATTATACACTACTCAATACTCAAATACTTAGAATAACAAGGATATTTTTAGCTTCTTAAGAAACTAATTAATTGTCCCTAATATAAATTTATTAGATCAAAATCATAATTTAAACATTAAGAATTATTAGTTTTCTCTTAAAATACTAATAAACAAATATAGAGTTTTAGCATAACAAATTCTCAAACATATTTAGTTTTTCCTACCTCTCCCAAAAGATTTTCTTCTGATATCTTTTTGTCCTCAATTTCTTTTTGATAGCTGTCAGTCATTTCTCTAAATTTTTGTTTGGCACCTTCTAGTTCTAGCTCTAATTTACTGACCTTTAAGTAAAGAAAATAGCATGAACATTAGTAAATGCTGAGGATTATTTTAAAATATTCTGTATTCATTTTGTGGTTTTATGAACATTAAAAGACTACCTATTCATGTAAATTATGGTTGGGTCATTTTCCTTACATTTTTCATATGATGTGATGTGCTTTATTTTTCACAAAATCTATCTTCTCCCATAAAATATGTAGTTAGTCTTGACAAGCAATATTTTAAAGGCAGCCATATTTTTATTTTTAATGAATTTATCAACAATATTTAAATTGCTTAGTCTTCGTTCAGTATCTTTTGTTACAAAAAGTAACTATTCCATTTGGACAGAACACCCATGTGATTCAAAGAAAAAACATTCTTTTTTTAAAAAAAACAGCTGTATTGAAGTATAATTGATAAACAAAAAAACCACACACATTTAATTATACAATTTAATGAGTTTGGACATATGCATATGATGCATGAAACCATCACCACAACTAAGGTAATAGACACATCCAGCACCTCTAAAAGTTTCCTTTGTTTTTTGGTTTTGTCATAAGAACACTTAACATGAGAGTTACCCTCTTAACAAATTTTTAAATGCACAATACAGTATTGCTGACTATAGTCACTATGCTGTACAGTAGACCTCTAGAACTAATTTATCTTGCATAACCGAAACTTTATACAAATTGAATAACGCCTCTCCACTTCCCCCTCCCCCCAGTCCCTGGTAATCACCATTCTAATCTCTGCTTCTATGAGTCTGACCATTTTAGGTACCTCATATAAGTGGAATCATGCAGTATGTGTCCTTCAGTGACTGGTATTTGTTGTTGAAGTGGAAGTGTTCTTTATATATTCTGGATACTAGATCATTACCAAATATAGGATTTGCAAATATTTTCTCCCATTCTATGGGTTATCTTTTCACTCTCTTGCTAGTGTCCTTTGATGAATAGAATTTGTTAAAGAATAGTTTCTTTAACAAATCCTGCTGAAACAACTGATATTCACATAGAAAAGAATGAAGTTGGACCCTTACCTCGACACCATGTAAAAAAATTAACTCAAACAGATTAAAGATCTAAACGCAATAGCTAAAACTATAAATCTTAGAAGAAAATAGGAGTTAACATTCACAACAATGGATTTGGAAATGACACTAAAAGCATAATCAACTAAAGAAAAATAGACAAAACAGATTTCATCGAAAAGCATACTCAATGAGATTAATTTTCTGTAAATAATCAACACCTTCAATTCCAATTGTTTTCATTTACTTTGTACGGATATTTACTGAGTCATGTAGATATGACTCAAATATAGTAATTTTCAAAAGAAAGAGGACTCTTAATTAGCATCCACCTTCCAAAATCACTTATTACCTAAGGGCTGAATTAGAACTGAGGAGGGGGTATAAGCAAGGACAGGAACTGGGAAAGGGAAGTATGCTTAATTTAACAATTAATCAGACTGTATTCTGTACCCATGAATCAACCAACTTTAAGACACAGAACATTATCAACATTGATAAAGGCTTCTGAGTGCCTCTCTTCATTAGTTTTCCCCTTCTACCTCCTCAAGTGTAACAAAGATTCTTAATTTAATATTTATTATTCCCTTGCTCTTCTTTATAGCTTTACTGCACAACTATGTATCAATATTTCAGAGTTTTTTGGTTTTGAATTTTACATAATGTTTTCATAGTATGCATATTTTTGTGTCTTGCATTTTTCATTCAGCAGTATGTTTCAGGTATTTATGTGTGTAAACACAGTTCCTTCATTTTCACTAAGTAGTGTAACATGGTATGAATATACTATGGTTTATTAATGTATTCAATTGTCTCCAATATGGGATTAGTATACACAATAACGCTGTGAATGTTCTTGTAAACATCTCCCAGTGTAAGTGTGTAAAATTTCTCTGCAGTAGATACCTAGAATTGGAATTGCTGGGTCATAGGGCAGGCTGCATGTTCACCTTTACCAGATAATGACATTATTTTCCAAAGTACATATGCCAATTTAAATTCCTAGAAACAATATTATGAGTTTTGCCTGCTTCACACCCTTATCAACAGCTGATAGCATCAGACAAAAATATTTGACTGAAGTCTTGTCACTAAATTTACATTTTCCTAAAAATTATGTAATACGTTTAACTCCTGATGTTTTCTGTCCTGTGAAATCTCTATTCATGTCTTTCACCCATTTATCTATTTGCTTGCTTCATCAGTTACTTTATGATGTATAGGAGTTCTTTATTAACTATGTCTATTCAAGTCTTTTGCCCATTTTTTAATCAGGCTTTTTGTTTGTTGTTGTCTTTTCCCCATTTTGAATCTTTTAGTGTTGAGTTTTAAGAGTTCTTTATATATTCCGGATATATGTTGTCTTTCAAATAAATGTGTTTTTTGTCAGTATTTTCACCTTCTTTGTACCTTGTCTATTTATTTTCTTAATGATGCCTCTTGATAAGCAGATCTTTGAGATTTTGATGAGGTCTAATTTATCATATTTTTTATGAATATTGCTTTCTGTGCCCTTCCTAAGAAGTCTTTGCTAACTTCCAGGCCATAAAGATACTCTCCTATGTTTTCTTCCAGAAGCTTTAGAGTTTAAGATTTTATGTCTATAACCCATTCAAAATTAACTTTTGTCTATTGTTTAAAGTAGGAGTCGAGGTTTTTTACTTTCCCATACGTATATCCAGTTATTCTAGAACACTTGTTGAAAAGACTTTCATTTCTCCCATTGAATTTTTTTGGCATCTTTGCTGAAAATCCATCAATCACATGTCAATTAGTCTATTTCTGAACTTTCTATGACAGTCCATTGATCTCTTTGTTATCCTCATAATAGTATACTGTCTTGATTACTGTAGCTTTATAGTAAATCTTCAAATCAGGGAGCCTAAATCCTCCAACCTGATTCTGCTTTTTCAAAATTCTTGTGTCCTTTGAACATTCATATACATTTACAAGCAGCTTGTCAAGGTCTATAAATTAGAAAAAAAGTGCTGGAATTATGATGGGGATTGATGGAATCTCTAGACCAATTTGGGAAAATCTGACATCTTAAAGATATTAAGGTATCCAATCAATGAACATGATACATATGTACTTACTTAGGTCTTCTTTAATTTGTGTCAGCAATGTTGGTACTTTTGTGTGTATGAGTCTTCCACATATTTTATTTAATTTATCTCTATTATATGGATTTTGATACTACTGTTAAGTGGCATTGTATTTTAAAATTCATTTTTCAGTTAGTAGCTGTATTTATATATAGAAAGACAACTGATTTTTGGCAATTGACGTTGTGTCCTATGACTTTGCCAAGTTCACTCACTAGTATACTACCGCCTTTGTAAAAACCTTAGAATTTTCAATGTAGACAATCACATCACTTAAGAAGAGACAGTTTTACATATTCTTTTCCAATCTATATACCTTTTATTTCTTTTTGTCTTAATGTGCTAGCTAGAACTTCCAATATAATGTTGAAGAGCAGACATTGTTCTTGATGTTAAAGGGAAAGAATTTGGCCTATCATAATTAAGCATGATGCTAGTTTTAGGTATTTTGTAGCTGTTCTGTATCAGACTGAGGAAGTCTCCTTCTATTCCTAGTTTATTGAAAATTTGTATCAAGAATGAGTATTGAATTTTGTCAAATGCTTTTCTGCAACCATTGAGATGATTATATAATTTTTCTTTTATTACTTAATAGAATAAAGTATTTGATAATTTCAAAAATTTGAGAATTTCAAATCTTAAGCCAATCTTACATTCCTAAGGTAAATCCCCACTTGTTCAATGTAATATGGTTTTAACATATCACTAGATTAGCTTTACTAATATTTTGTTAAGGATTTTATATCCATATTTATAAGGTATATTGGTCTGTAATTTTATTTTCTTGTAAATGTCTTTGTCAGGATTTAGTATCAAAAAACTAGTTGGGAATTATTCTCCCTCTTCTATTTCTTGGAAGAGTTTGTGAAAGACTGGTATTATTTCTTCCTGAAGTGTTTGTTAGAATTTACCAGTGAGACCTTCCAAATCTGGATTTTTCTCCAGGACATTTTTAATAACAGATTCAATTTTCCTGATACATGGCTCTTCAGATTTTCCCTTTCATCTTGTGTCAGTTTTAGTAAATTGGGTTTTCCAAGAAATTAGCCCATTTCACCTAGGTTTCAAATTTATTGGCATAAAGTTGTTCATGACATCCCCTTGTTATCTTTTAATATTTATAGTGTGTATGTTAATAATGTTCTATTTCATTCCTGCCTTTAGTGAATTTTATTCTCTCTTTTTGTATTCAATCCTGCTAAGGGCTTCTCAATTTTATTAATATTTTTCAAAGAATCAACTTTTGACTTCATTAATTTTTTGTCTCTTTTTTATTTCTTGGATCTCTCTTCTTATTTTTATTTCCTTTTATCTACTTTCTCTGGGTTTAATTTGCTCACCTTTTTTCAGTTTCTAGATGAAAACCTAGGTCATTTCTTCTTTTCTAAAATAAATATTGTTTATAAATTTCCGTCCCAGAACTGCTTTATTTGCATCCCACAAATTTTGATATGTTATACTTCTTTATTATTCAGTTTAAAATAAGTTCTCATTTTTCTTGTGATTTCTTCTTTGGCCCATGAATTATTTACTAGTGTGTTGTATAATTTCCAAATATTTAGGTTTTTCTAGATATCTTATGGTTACTTACTTCTAATTTAATTCTGTAGTAGTGAGAGAATATACTCTGTAAGACTTCAATCTTTTGTAAATCTATGGAGACTTGTCTTATGGCCCAGCATATGATCTATCTTGCTACACATTCTACATGCACATCAAAAGAATTTACAGTTGTAACTATAGTATTCTACAAACGTGAATTAAGTCAAGGTAGTTAATAGTGTTGTTCAGATTTTCTATATTCTTATCAATTTTTTACTAGTTGTATCAGTTGCTGAAAGAGAGGTATTACAACTATGATTATGAAACTGTCTGTTTCTCATTTTAGTTTTTTAAGTTTTTGTTTCATGTATTGTAAAGCTCTGTTATTAAGTATAAATATATCCATGATCATTGTATCTTCTTGATTAATTGACACCTTTATCATTATAAAATGCCCCTCTGGATCTCTGATAAAACTCCTTATATTTCAATCTATTTTATGTGTTATTAAAATTGTCACTGTAGCTTTCCTATTCTTACTATTTGCAGAGTATATCTTTTTTTTCATCTTTTTACTTTCAACTTCTTTGTATCTTTATATTAAATAAAGAGTGTCTCTTACAGGCAGCATATGGTTCAGCCTTGATTTTTTTTTTAAATATCTTTTTTTTTATTATTAATGTTATGATAGATTACAACCTTGTGAGATTTCAGTTGTACATTTTTGTTAGTCATGTTGTGGGTACACCACTTCCCCCTTTGTGCCCTCCTCCCACCCCCCCTTTTCCCTGGTAACCACCGATCAGATCTCCTTGTCAATATATTAACTTCCACCTATGAGTGGTCAGCCTTGATTTTTTAATACAGACTAATAATCTCTAACTTTTTATTAAAATATTTAGCCCATTGATACTTAAGGTAATTACAGATATGGCTGGGTTCAGATATATCATTTTGGTCTTTTCTTTCTATTCATGTCGTCTCTTTTTTGTTTTTTCGCTTCTCCTTTTGGGTTTATCAAAATTTTTTAGTATTCCATTTCAATTCCTTTATTGGCTTTTTCACTATGTCTCTGCATTATTTTATAGTGGCTGCTCTAGGGAGGAAAATGTGTATCACTAACTTACCATAGTCTACTTAACACTTAATATTGTAGTACTTCGTGCATAATGTAAAAATCTTTCAACAAAAGTTGTATTTACCCTCCTGTCCTTTGTCCTATGGTTGTCCTATATCTTATTAACTCTATAATAGCAATTTTTTTTGCTTTACGTAGCCATATAAACCCTTTAAAAAATTGAGAAGAAAAATACATAGCTTTTTATATTCAACTACATGTTTACCATTTCCTAGCACTTTTCATTGCTTCCACTGATTCAAGTATTCATCTGATGTCATTTTCCTTCAGCCTGAAAAAATTCCTATCACACTTCTTTAGCATTTAGTGCAGTTCTCAATGTCCTTATTTTTGCTGCATACAGAATTCTGGTTTGACAGTTTATTTCTATCAGCATTTTACAGATGTCTTTCCTTTGTTATCTGGGCTTCACTGTCCTGATTCAAGGTCAGCCATCATTTGTGTCACTATCTCCTTGTATGCAATGTGATGTTTTTCTCTGGCTGCTTTTAAAAGTTTCTCTTTATCTTTAGATTTAGCACTTTGACTAAAACATACCTGCCTAGGTATGGTTTTCTTTCTATTTATTTACTGTGGATTTGCTAAGAACCACAGATCTGGAAGTTTATCTTTTAATTAAATGTGAGAAATCTTCAAATAATTTTCTTTTGCCCTATTCTCTCTCTCCTCTTCTTCAGGGACTCCAATTACACATCTAAAACCACCTGATATTGTTCCACAGGCCACTGAGGTACCATGTCCTTTTTTTTTTTTTTCTGTATTTCTCTAACTAGATAATTTCTATTGATCCAGCTTCAAGTTCACTGACACTTTCTTCATCCGTCTTCAATCTACTAGTAGGACTACTGAAGTTTGTTTGTTTAAGATATTTTACTTTTCACTTCTAGAATTTCCATCTGATTCTTTTTTAAAGTTTCCATTTCTTCACTGAGATTCCCCATCTGTTATTTCATTATAATCATATTTTCCTTTCCATCACTGAATATACTTATAATAGCTGCATGAAAGAATTGCTAATTCTAACATCTGAGTCATCTTAGAGTCATTTTCTATTGAATTATAAGATGCTACTGATCTGGGGGCCAGCCCCGTGGCCGAGTGGTTAAGTTCACACACTCCACTGCAGTGACCCAGGGTTAGGATCCTGGGTGCGGACATGGCACCGCTCATCAGGCCACATTGAGGTGGCATCCCATATGCCACAACTAGAAGGACCTGCAACTAAGATATACAACTATGTACCAGGGGGGATTTGGGGAGATAAAGCAGAAAAAATTTAAAAAAAAAAAGATTGGCCACAATTGTTAGCTCAGGTGCCAATCTTTAAAAAAAAAAAAAAAAAGATGCTATTGATGGATATCCATGTTGTCTTCGGTTTAGGACTCCTACAAGTAAGGCTGCTAAGAATATTTTGTATATTTCTTTTAATTCTACCTAGATAAAGAAAGGCTGAATTACAAGATATACGTATCAACTTCTTTTATATGTAATTCCAGCAGTTTATGAGACTTATTTGTTTTCATTTCTAATCACAATATTTACATACTTTTAATTTCAATTAGTATTAAAAGAAGGTATAAGATTTTTGCTTTCCCAAAAAAGGCACATATTTAATATACTGACAACCACTGCTTTCCATTCAAGATTCAAAAACTATTTATTGAGTGCTTACTAAGTGTAGGTCATTGTTCAAGGAATTGGGAACGAGATGACAAACAAAATATGGCCAAGATTTTAACACAGCTAAATCATAGATGAGCACTCTATTACAACTAAAAGGTTTGATTCCCACAACCTCAAAAGATAATGTTTGAAAATAACTGTTAAAATATAAATGAAGGGTATAAAATTCCTAAATTCTCATCTATTTACTAATATTTTAAAAACAAGAATAAAGATTCCAAATACCTTCATCTCGTAAACATTCAGTTGCTTGCTTTCTGCTGTACTCTTTTTCTTTAAGGCCTTATTCTGTTAAAAGTTAAAAATAAAGAAGTATGTTTAGTACCAAAGTGATTCAAACATACACTGCCACTTAGACTGAAATCACTAAAGGGAAAGGAAAGACTTATTCTCAACAACTGTAGAGAGGGGCCGGCCCCGTGGCCAAATGGTTAAGTTTGTGCACTCCACTTTGGCAGCCCAGGGTTTCACCGGTTTGGATCCTGGGCACAGACATGGTACTACTCATCAAACCATGCTGAGGCAGCGTCCCACATAGCACAACCAGAAGCACTCACAACTAGAATATACAACTAGGTACTGGGGGGACTTTGGGAAGAAAACAAAGAAGACTGGCAACAGATGTTAGCTCAGGTGCCAATCTTTCAAAGAAAAAAAACACTATAGTGAAAAAGTAGGGATTTTTAAAAATAGTTTGATTTTGGGAATCAGCACATACCTCCTGTTGGAGTTCTTCAACATACTTGCTTTTATTTTCAACTTGTTTCCTTAAATTGTTACACTAAAAAATTATGAGAAATTATAATTATTTTATTCAATATTCCAGTCAAAATAAGTAATTTCAGACTAACAAAAAGATTGCATAAAGTAATATAGAAGTCACTTCAAAAATCACGTTGTTAAATAATTCCATTAATGTCAAAAATCATGTGAACAAGTATGAATTTACATAAAGGTTATCTCAACAAAAATGTGAAATTCTTACCATTTCTTAATCTACTTAAAGAACATTTGAATTCAACCACTTTAAGGAAAATGTGCCTCTTGGTCAACCCTATATAGAAGGCTGAATTACAATATTAACTGGATTTTGAAAAGCCACAGCCAGAGGTAGGAATAACGATAATTTTTCTTCTTCCCTCCTCATTATTCCCCATTTCTCATTTCTGAGTCTCTTTTACTTATTATATTTGGGAAAGGGAAATAATATGGTACTCTATTTCCTCCTAACTACATTCTAACTCTTTTTATAGAAATATCAGCTAACCCACTTTTTTTTATCTCACTTTGAGGGACTATGTCACCTGGGTACACAGGCAGAATTGGACTAAGAGGTATTAGCCCAAGAAATATTTGGAGTACCATAAAAGCAGCACAGATTTCTAAAGGGTCCTAAAACATCACAGATATGTTAATTTTTCAAATTTCCTTCAAAGTAGAAAGAAACTCCGATGGAAAAAATTTTTTAATCTCCCTTATTAGCATAAAATATTCTGTTAAGTATTCTTCTTGCAAGAGTCACGTGCAGTCAATAGTCAGCTACTGTTCTGAAACTGAATAATATTTGGCACTGCTGTTCACAAGTAATTTATTTTATCTAAATTGTAATGTGCCCCATCTCCCACAAATGGTTTATTGCAAAAACTCAAAAGAAGACTAAGGAAGAAACACTATAGAAAAGTGAGAAATATTTTACTGATTTTCATGCCAATTTGACTGGTATAAACATATTAGCTGGTGAAATTATTGGGTTACAGAATTTTTATTTATTAAAAACATCAAAGATTTCCATTTTTGGCAGAAAAGCCACCTAAATACTCTGAACAACCTTTCTAATAAAAATAATTTAAAAGTAAATGGTTAGAAAGTAAGGAATCTGCTTACTTGATGTTATCACTTTAAAGTGATAATAGTAAGTTTGGCGCTAACACCAAAGTCAGCATTTGGCCTAAGGATACCTGCCAAACCTACCTAAGGTAAGGGAGATAGGAAATAAAACTGAGAGCTCACTAAAAGTATGGAATCCAAGAATGCAATCCTGTATAAAGCCAAAATCTCAAAGGACTTAACTACTCAGTGAAAGTGTAAACAAGAAATAAATCTGCCACACAGAAGGGAACAGTAAGGAAACTTGTCTATCTTGACCCCAGCACTGAGTGAAAGGCATGAAAATCTTTCCTGATAATTTGTAGCCATGAGCTGGCCTTATATGGTTTTATAAGCTGAATTCATACTACTTCTATGATCTAGAAAAACTTAAAGTGGAGAATTTAGTTTAAAATGGTTCCTGGTTAGGAGCACTCCCAAGAAAGTCTTTTTGGAAGGGTATCAACTTCAACACAAGCCTCAAAGAATTCCCACAAATAAATTCCAAGGTATCATTAAAAAAAAAAAAAAAAAAGGCTCAATGAGCAGAAAGAACAAAAAGTGGAATTGGATCTGAAAAGACTTCAGACACTGGAATTATCAGACAAAGAATATCAAATTAAAACACTTAACATATTTTTAAAAGTTAAAGGCTTGAAACTATGAACAAGAACAGGAGACTATAAAAGATGATTAAACATATTTTTAAAAGAACTAATTAAAACTTCTGGTAATAAAAAATGTAAAATTTAAAACTCAATAGAGGCAGAAAAATTGGTTACTTCTTGGCCTTACCAAACGAATGCTGGACAAATTTAAAGAATATCAGTTTGAAGCATCACCCATTTATAACTTTGCCCGAGAAAGCACGTTTCATGTATTTCTCCCTTCTTCAGACCATTAAAACTTATTCCCCTGAGAGCTAATGGTGATGACCATACCTTTCTCCTACTCAGCTTTTCCTAAAAAACCATCTTTATAACTGGCATTACTACACAGTCCAAAAAATGTGTATTTTTTACTAATGATAAGGACATCAGAACTATTAACTTTGAATGTAATTTTGACTGTCCCATCTCACTTTCTCTTCCTTCTGAACAAGGTAATGAAAATTAAAATAACAAGTTTTCACTCCTTTTACATTTAAATAATCTCCAAATTTAAGGCTAATTAAGATAAATATATTTGTTGGAATGCCAAGAAATTCTTGAAAAGGCTTTAAATTATCACAGTTCGTTTTTAAGTAAAATAATCCATGTACATAGAAACGAATTTTATTCACCAGAATTCTAGGTAGAAGAAGATGGTGTTGATTATTAGATGTCAGAATTGTAGAAAGTGAATTATACTTTCCAGAGGACTACTCACTGTATAGAAGGTCAAGTTTAGGACAAGCATGTGGTGAGGTGTAGAGAAAGGATAAATGAATCGGGATGGGGACTCAGGCAGAAAAAACACTTCACATAAAGAGAACAGAAATTTTCCCACAGCAACCTTGATTATAGGAATGGGAGAAATGTCTAAGAATGATTTTTAAAAGCATCTTGCCATTCTAAGGATATCCACAACAAATGCACCTGCTAAGAATATGAAATTTGGGGAAAGGGAAGAGATAGCTACAGACGAGTTTAATGAACCTTTGCCCTTTGAAAGCATTGTGCAAAACTTCTGAATGTAGAGCCTCTTCAAAGAAACTTGCAGTAAAAATCCGACATTATTCCTCAAAGCCTTCAAAGGTGAATTGAGATTTCTTTGTACAGGACAGAGTAAAGGCTGGCCCTAAAGAATTTAGTCATACGTATATTGTACAAAGTCTCTATTCACAAACATTTTTTTGCAATTTGATAATACCTTGTTTTCCAATATCTTCATTTGTTTGTCTTTTTTTAAAACTTCACATTCAATGCTTCGAGCCTAAAAAATATTATTTGACATCAGATTAAAAATGTTAACAGAATTTCTTTCTTCTATGAGTATCTTCCAGAAATTATAAAGTTGTCTTATATTTCCACAGAAATAGTTATCAGTTCTCCCAGTTTCAGTATCCTTTTTCTAAAATAAATTGCTAATGTTTTTATGCTAATGTTCATCATTCTTATCTTAGCCCAGTATCACTTTGCAATATTTTATCAGTCTTCCCAGTTTATCTTGAATTTTTAAAAACTGTCTTGTATATAAATGTTTACAATATCTTAAATACATATTTCACACATTTATTAATCTGAACCTTGTAATAACCCAATGATATACAAAGAACAGGGATTATTTTCTCCATTTTAAAGATGAGCAATTTTAGGGTCAGCTAAAGTATGTATGAAACAATAAATGTCTGAGATAAGGTAGTGGATGGGGAAAAGAAGAGTGTAACAAATTTCAGTGTCAGGCAAAGTAGCTGAGAAATATTTGCAACTTGGATTCTTTCTGGGAAACTGTTTCAAGAGGTAAACTGAAATCCAACCTTGGAAAGCTTTAGTATGCTAACAACTTGTCTTGCATTTCAGGTTTTTTCCCTTAACTCATCACTAACATTTTCTACATTGGTAAAATAAATTTGAATTCTTAGTAGAGGATTTTTATTTTACATTAAACATCAAATTCATGTTTTTCCCTATCACAAACAAAACTAGTGTTTTGCAGCAGCCTCTGACACAAATTTTAAAGTACGGAATTACATACAAGTTAGGCGATTAAATTCAGTTTTTTCTGGTTGAATTTAGTAAACATAAAACAAAGAAAAAACTAGCTTCTTGAGAGTAAAAAATGTAGCATAGTCTAAAGAATGTTAGAAGGCCAGCTCTATTACTTGTCATGTAGCCTTTCAAAATTTTTTACCCTTTGGAGTCCCAATTTCCCAATTCATAAAATGAGCAATAATATGACTTCTGGTTAAATAACATATATAACGAACCTACAATATTTCTGGTCCATTGTAAGCCCCTAAAAATATTCATTCATCTCATCCTTTGACTATTCCAATAGTCTTACAACTTTCTAAAGTGTAAATAGGATTATGACACTTTTCATATCAAAACTCTTCAATAACTTCAAACTCCCAAATATAGCTATGAGACCTTAAATGATTTACCTTCACCTCCTCCCATCCTCATTTCCCCATCCTCATCTCCCCTCTTTCATCTTTCCCTACTCTGTCCAGTATCACCACTGTCTTAAACGCTACCTTATAGCCAAAATGAACTTCTTATAGTTGCTTAAAAATGACAGGCCCTCTCATACTTTCAGGCTTTCTCATACATCATGTCCACCCCTCTGCCTTACACTAATTCCTATTAATCTAAGGTTTCAAACTGAAGGCCACCTCTTTCAGGATGCTTGTCCTAACTCAAGTTTGAATTAGATGCCTCTTCTATGGGCTCTAATAACACTTCTATAGAGGACCTATGTTTTTAATTTTGCCACCATTCTTTCCTAAAAAAGACTTCTTTATTGTAAATTCCACAGTAATCCTGCTAAGTTCACGCAGTTTGATGGAGGCTGATCTGTCTCCAAGAGTGGTCATCCAGATCAGGCTGGGCTAGATTACCCTATCCCCTAACTACAATGATTGGTTTAGGAATAAGTAAGTGAACTAAACTAGGCCACAGCCCTCTTCAAGATTTTTTTTAATTCTTTTTTTATTGTGGTAACAGTGATTTATAACATTATATAAATTACAGGTGCATGTCATTATATATTTCAATTTCCGTGTAGATTACAACATGTTCACCACCCAAAGACTAATTACAATCCACCTACGGCCATATCACCCTGAACACGCCGGATCTCGTCTCCAAGATGTTTTTTCAGAGCTTTCAAGACTGCCTTCCAACTGATTTCAGTGCCTTTCACCTCTCCCCATTTCATTCTTAAAGATTAAAAATGTCAGTTCCCTAATAAAAAACCTTAATTGGATCACCATTGTCCAGAAAACAAATGAAATCCAAACTCAGCACCTAGAACAGTACCTGATACATAGTAGGTAGTCAATATTATTTGTTGAATGAATGAAAAATCACAGTCAAGACCTTCAACAATCCAGCTTGATCTTTCCATTTTGGCAGAATTTTCTCCAGACTATGTTATGTTATATACTATAGTCATGTCACGTAACTTATACTATTCCACTTTTGTGACATTCTTCCCTAAAAATCTTCTTATCTCAACTTGTTGAAATCACACCCACCAAAGCACAATACAAACTTATTAATCAATTTACCAGTATATTCTGTATTACTAAAGCATGAGCCTTTTATTTAGCCTAAAAATGTAAATCAACATTAAACATTGATCACTTATGAAAGAAATTTAGAATTATGCCATGATTTCCTTCTAGATATAAACCACATATGCAAAACAACCCAGCTTTGCCTATATTTTTAAATCAACAGCGTACAACAGTCCCTAGATCACTAGTAATTGAATAGCACACTTTTTTTTAGACACATGGTGTTGCTTTTATGATTTGAAATTTTGTGATACAATTGATCATTAAATATAACATACATTTTCTTCACTCTTATCCAATTTATATTTAACTTCATCTCCTTTCTGTTTTAGTTCTTCTCTCACAGATTCCAGTTCATTCCTTAAAGGAAATGGGAGAGTGACATTGTAATAAACTTTCTATTTTCATTTTATTCCTTTTCCAGGATTTCTAAAATGGTTGACTATTACTTTTTTGTTGATTAATCTTTTAATTTTGTTTGGTAATTTTTCAAGCCTTGATACCCACAGGCACACTTCTACTCTTATATTTAATTTATACATTTATTTTGAAATTAATTATGTGGATTCTTATAGTCATTTTTCCATTAGAAAAACTCCTAAAAAGAAACACTAATTTCTTATTTAAGTCAAGATTTCACTATACCGTTCTTTAGTCATAAAATAGTCATCATTCTAAGACATAGTCAATTTTATACAAATAAATTAAGAACTTAAATTCAAGTCATTTTAATGAAGAACTACACAACTGAGATATTTGCATACACATATATCCTTATATATGTATATTGTATCTCTGGAAACATACACAAGAAACAGTGATACCTCTGGGGTGCAGTGCTGGACAGCAGGAAGACAAAGGTCAAGAAAAATAGTTTTCTTTCACCATGTGCTCCTTTGTCTCTTTGAATTTTGCACCATATGCATGTATTATCCTTTCAAAATTTTTTAAACTTAACATCTGCCTGTTGCACATGAGAACAATGGTGCTTTGTCTCAGATGGATATTTGAAGCTATTTTTAATTCTTGTCTTTCTTATTACCACTAATATGTTGCTGGGTCTAACCTGTATGCATGGAACAGTGTTCAATCATGTGGAATAATATTCCCTGCAAAAACTGAATCCAGGATATTTACTATTTAACTGAGCATTAGGATTTTAATTGGTATTGGGCTGGCCTGGTGGCATAGTGGTTAAGTCCGTGTGTTCCACTTCAGCAGCCCAGGGTTCGCTAGTTTGGATCTTGTGCATGAACCTACACACCACTCATCAAGCCATGATGTGGTGGTGTCCCACATACAAAATAGAGGAAGACTGGCACAGACGTTAGCTCAGCGACAATCTTCTTCAAGCAAAAAAAGACAAAGATTCCAACAGATGTTAGCTCAGGGCCAATCTTCCTCATGAAAAAAAAAGGAAGAAAGAAAAAAGTAAATTGATACCTTGAAACATTTTTATTATTTGAAAAAGAGAAAAATAAATATCAATATGCCAATTTTTTTAAAAACTAAAGATTAATATTTGATTTCAGGCAGGCAAAAGATTTCTAAGTATAAAAGCAATGGGAAAAATTACAAAAGGAAAGGCAATTAGATTTAACACAAAATCAAAAAACTTCTGTATGACAAAAAAATTACACAAAGTGAAAGGAATACAGGTTGGGGAAAACATGTGCTGCAAATAAAACAAAATAAAGGACTAACATATTTTTTAAAGCTTAAATAAATCAATAAGAAAACAATCAAGACCTCAAAATATTAGTGGGCAACCAGTATAAGTAACTTCAGAAAGAAAAAATCCTAGCAAGCAAACATGAAAAATTCCAAAGCTCACCCAAAAAATGAAAATTACAAATCATAAGAACGAGTTGTTTTTATCTGTTATATTATCAAATGAATTCATATTACCCAAAACCAATTAAAACATTTTGGAATCAGCATTTTCACACAATATTGCATGGTTTGCAACCAATATAATGAATTAGAAACCATTTGACTATCAAAAGTCATTGAAATAATTATTCCTGAATGTGACAATAAATCTACTGCTTGAAATTTATCCAATCAAATTCAAAATAAGGGAAAAAACTGTATGTGCCAAGATGTTTACTACAGTATTATCTATGAGAGTGAAAAACTGGAAAATGTAAATATCCAAAAATAAAAAGAATTGAAATAAATAATGTTATATTCACTTGACTGGTATACAGCCATTAAAATAGATTGAGAAAACACCTAGAAACATGGATAATGTTCAAAATAACATAATTTGGGAGGGCCTGGGCCGGTGGCGCAGCGGTTAGGTTTGCACATTCCGCTTTGGCAGCCCAGGATTCACCAGTTCGGATCCCGGGTGCGGACGTGGCACAGCTTGGCAAGCCATGCTGTGGCATGCGTCCCACACATAAAGTAGAGGAAGATGGGCACGAATGCTAGCTCAGGGCCAGTCTTCCTCAGCAAAAAGAGGAGGATTGGCAGCAGGTGTAAGTTCAGGGCTGATCTTCCTCAAAAAAAACTAAAAATAAATAAAAAACACAATTTTTTTAATTACTCTTCTAAATTTTCTGGCATATGATTGGTGTACTTTGTTAAATAAATATTAAATGTTAAAAAGTTTATGGGGCTTTAAAATTAATTTCTGTGTGATCTCACTATTTCAACACTAAGAATAAAAAAGACATTATAACAATTTTAAGGATTCCAACGCAGTAATTTAACTCTAATTTCTTACTTTATACTATATTCAACAAAAGTTTAATCTAAATTAAATACAAGCTAAAAGAAAAGAAATACTAATATCTTTTGCCAGACAAAAACGCCAACTCATTAGTCTTGCCTTAATTGTGTTTCTCTTTCTTCCAGATTTTCTATTTGTTTCAACATCCTTTCTTCTTGCTTTTTGCTATCCTAAAGAAATAATCAATGTCGTTCATATTAATTGTTTCAACAAAAATAAAATTGAGACTAATATTTAAGATCTTTATTTGTCAGCATAAAATTCATTTAGTTATATATAAAGAAAGAGAATGGGCTATTTAACTTGCATAGTTCCAAACTAATTTTCCAGCTTTTAATTATTCCCCTAACAATCCCTATATAGCAGCTAATAAAACAAGTATTATTTGCTGTTTCCCAGTAATACTTTGACCCTTGCATCTTTGTTCATATTATTGAGGCTTCAAGGAATGCTTTTCCACTCATTGTTACCTACTGAACTCATAATTATTCAAAGTTTAAGGCCAAAATCAATGCTATATTCTCTCTCAAGTCTTCTCTTCCACCAAGGAAGAAGTGATTCTTGTGAACTCTGATAAGACTTTGTACCAAAAACAACACATATGACATACTATTTTCTTTAAGTTATTCAAGCATTTATTTTTTCTATTGAGTCATAAGGTCCTAAAGAGGAAGGATATTTTATTCATCATTGTATCTTCCACATTGTCTTATGTTATTTACTTAATAAATACTTGAAAAATAAATACTTTATAAAAATCTTGATGCTTAAAGTTAGATTATTGTTATCAATGGGTAGTCTCTATATTCTGTTGCCCCTTATCACCATCTAAGAACAATGTGCATGTTTTCATCTAAAACAAAGTATCAGCTCTAAGATAATCAGACTTTTTAAAATTGAATCTTTAGAAGTCATCTACTCTAAGCCCCTAATTTTACAGTTGAGAAAACTAAGTCACTGGTACCTTCTTTTTCAACTCACATTAATATCTTCTTGATGTTTCTTGAGTTCTTGGGCCATATCACTTGTTTCTTGTGCTAGTTCTTTGTTCTCCAATGAAAGCCTATTGCAGCTTGCAGTTAGTTCAGTATTCTTAAGCCTATTTTTTAAAAAACATGTCATACCAAATGTTTACATATGAAATTGTACGATGTGGAATTTAATCCAAAATAATCTCAGCAGAAACGAAAGAAGGGCTGGGGGTATAAATGAAATAAGATTGGCCATTAGTTAATAATTTTTAAGGCTGGGTAATAGGTACATGCTGATTCATTACAGTATTTCCTCCACTTTGTACCTGTTTGAAATTTTTCTATAATAATTTTTTCAAGATGTCATATATTTCCTTGCATATTCCCCACACATCATTCCCCCCATACTTTTCCACAAATTTTGAAGGTATATTTTTTCTCCATATAATTGTTTCTCTCTAGTAGACTGTCTCTCAGAAACTGTTTCAAACTTCTGATGACTTGATTAAAGTAGTACTTGAGGTATGAACTCCTTTTAATTAAAATAAATCAAACTAGGTTTAGTTTTTGTGCACAACACTTAAACTGCTCTTACAAGGTCTCAAATGCTCTACTGGGACAGGGATTACTGCTGTCATTTATTGCAGCCAGAATCAATTTTAAACAAAGGAAGGGGCTTATGTGGCTCTATGGAATGATTTCAGAAGCACCTATTATCTCCTTCTACTTACGGATACTGGAAATTCATCAAAGAGTAGACAATGGTCTTCATTAAAAAATGAAAGGTTAAAAAAAGCAAATATACCAAGGATAACAAAAATTTATACTAAAGCATAAGTAACTTATCAGTCCATTCATTAATATGGATTTTTGGTTAATAGATTAATTTTACCCAGAGCCCTTATGGTACCAGAAGCAGGGAATAGGAGCTGAAAGGGAAAAAGACAAGATGCTGAGATAACTGCTTCTCATTTTTACCTAGAGCTGAGAAACAACCAAAAAGGAAAAATCATGCTCACCACTAGATTGACTACTTGAGTTTACTTCTGAGTAATAAGACAATAATTACTTCCTCCCACTTTCTCTCAAAATTAAACTTACTGAGTAGGGAATTATTCAGTCAAATATTTTAGTTGGACAAGGTAAAAAATGGATTCGTATTTTGTCATTTCATCAAGACAAACCTATGAAATAATTCAGCAAAACAACCAAAATAACTAGTTAGAACAGTAAATGATTATTTTTATGAAGAATTTAATATCTCCAAGAAAAGTAATATATTGGCCTTCTAAAGCAGTTCTCAACTTTGTGATGTACTCTTTCTACGTCAACAATATGTACTTCCCTTAACAATGAAACCGATAAATTATTTTGATCTTTAATTAGGAATAAATCACAACTTTAAGCCCATTCAAATAAATATTGAAAGATAATTTACTAATTTATCATGAACTAACAGAAAGCTTAGGAACTGAATACATAAGCTATTTATAGATACAAAACATACTTTTCATTTTCAAGCTCAACTTTCAGCTCTTTAACCTGTTTTGAATAATGTTGTTCACTTGTCGCAATAGCAGTTAATTCTATTTCCAAATCATGTACTTTTTTCTGGAAAATAAATGTGTATAATCACAGAAAATGTTTTTACAATTTTCTCACAAAAAAATATGGTTACTCTATGTAATCAAGTCATACTTGGCAAAAATTTAGTAAAAATATGTCAAATTTTTTTAAGTAGATTTAATGCCATAACCATAATAATTTTAACACAATGAACAACAACAAATGAAACATGAGTAAATTCCATCTCAACATTCTGAAGCTTAACCAGCAAAATTATATTTACATACATATTATAAAATATTTTTATCAATTTTACTCTACCAACTAATTGATTTCAATTAAAATGTTATATTGTTAAGAAATATATCAATTAATGAAATCAGATAGTATCTTAAAAGCAAAGTTATTCTTACTATTACAGAAAGACAGTTACAATGTAATGCTGTTATGAACAGAAAATACACTTTTTTTAAATAAAGGACATATTCTAAAATTGTAACATAAGCACTACAAAAATTATCATAAACTAAGAACTTAATAAAGGTTAAGATTTAAATGTATCAATTAAGAAATACTCAAGACATCAAGAAGCATAATTGTTATGGACCACAGCATCATGTATATTATTGGTATCTTAAATGTTGACCTTTCTCTCCCATGTTATAATATGGAGGTTCTCTAGATGCCTTTTAAATCAATCATTAGCATATTAAGTGTAGCAGGAACACATACTCTTAAAAGGAATTTTGTGAAGAAACTTTTCACAAAGCTAATAGCTGCACCATAATCTATTTCGTAAATCGGTACTCTACTAAGAAAATATTTGAAAGAAAAAGATATCCTTTTTAAACAAACCTCTCTGGTTTGGAGAAGACCAGTTAGTTCTTGTTTTGTTCCTTTTAATTCTTCAGCAATCTTCTCAAATTGTTTCTTTTCATCTAAAACCTTTTGGTTTTCTGCCTATTTAAGAACATTAACAAATAGAGTTGTAGAGAGAACGAGTTTCTCTTTGGCTAAATTTTTTTAAAAAGAGAAAACAAGTCATTATTAAGTAAATTTCAAAACTAAATATGATGACAGAGGATTTATTGGACAGAGCCCTGGAATATTTTTATTTAAAAATATCATACAGGTCATTGAATTCAAAACTTACCTTGCGCACAAATCACTCCAATGTATTAGCACTTATTAATCACTCACAATTCTATTCTAAAATGTGCTTCCCTGTAACGTATATGCAGTGGTCATTGTTTTGCCTTCCTTAATCATACAGAAGTCCAATTTCTCTTTCACATGATAGCTGACAAATATTTGAAGAGAGTTCTAATCACTCCTCAATTTTTAACTGTTCTAAAATCTCTAACTCTTCTTATCATTCTTTCTATGAAATGGTTTTAAGTTTCCTTAGGATAAGCTCACTTTGTCAATACACCATTTTAAATAAGGTGTCAGGATTTAAATTAAATGTTCTAAACACCAAAGTTCAGCAAACTATAGCCCACAGGCCAAATCCAGCCACTGCCTATTTTTAATAAAGCTTTACTGTAATGTAGCCAATCTATTTGTTTTATGTATTGCTATGCCTGTTTTGCCCTATAACAGCAAAGATAAACAGCTACAACAGAGACCATATGACCCACAAAGCCTGAAAATTTACTACTGGCTCTTTATATAAAAATTTTGTCAACCTTTGCTCTGGACAAGTCCTGTACAACAGAACCTTCTGCAATAATAGGAACATTTTCTGTGCTACCCAATATGGTGGCTATTGAGCACTTCAAACGTAGCTATTGCAGCTGAGCAACTGACTTTTAGATTTATCTTAATTAATTTAAATTTAAATGCCACATTTGGCTAGTGGCTACCATATTGGACAGCATAGCTCTAGAAACTGAGCAAAACAAAGTAATACAACCATTAACTCACTAGTTATGGGTGCTTAATTCTATTAAATCCTCCTGTTATCCAGCAGAACACATATTTATGAAACTCAACTTTAATCTGTTTACTCAAGCATGAGATCACAACAATTTTACTAAAGGCTTACCTTACTAATAAGAGGTCCTATAACTATAAAAACTACCAATTGTAGTTAAAAAGTTTGAATTTTATCTGAAGGCAATGTGGAGCTATTGAAAGTTTTGATACAGCAATATAACATGATCATATTTATGATTCTAAAAGGTAACTCTAGCAATACTGCATAGGAAGACCCAATTATATACAGGAAATAAACAGATATGTATAAATATCAACAAAGGTAAAGACTAAGATAGTTTGAAAGATATACCATGCAAACAATAAACATATAACTGGAGTGGCTATAATAATATCAGTTAAAACAGACTTCAAGATAAAAGAGTTTTAATAGAGATAAAGAGAGGCATTTAATAATGAACAAAGAGTTCAGTTTATCAGGAAGATATAAATGTTAATGTGAGGCTTATGACAGAAATTCAACATACACGAACCAAACATTGACAGAATTAGACAGAAACAGACAATTACAAACTCCAAGTAGGAGATTTTAATACACCTCTCTCAGTAAATAATAGAACTGAACAAAAAAATATCAAAAACATAGAAGATTTTCACACCACCAACAACCAACTTGATCTAATTAACATGTATAGGACACTCTACCTAAAAATAGTAGCATACACATTCTTTTCAAGAGCACATGAAATATTCACTAAGATATACCATATCTGGATTTCTAAAACAAACCTTAACAAATTTAAATAACAAAACAAAGTATATTTTCTAACCATAATGAAATTAAAATAGAAATGAATAAAAAAAAAAAGAGAAAAATCTCCAAATACATGGAAATAAAATAACAGACTTCTAAATAACCCCAGGGTTAAAGAGGAAATCTCAAGGGAAATTAGAAAATATTTTAAGCTAAGTGAAAATGAAAATACAACATATCAAAATTTGGGGGATGCAGCCAAACAAGTGATTAGAGGAAATTGAGAGCATTAAAATGCTTATATTAGAAAAGGTCTCAAAACAACAATCTAAGTTTCCACCTCTAGAACCGAGAAAAAGAGAAAAATAAACCCAAAGAAAGATAAGAGCAGAAATCAATGAAATTGAAAAACAGAAAAACAATAGAGAAAATTAATGAAACAAAAAGCAGATTATTTGAAAAGATCAAAAAAATTAGTAAAGAAACACAAATCACCAATACTAGTAATGCAAGTAAAGGTAACACTACAAACTCCATAGACATTTAAAGGATAACAGGGAATGCTACAAACAACTCTATGCACAGAAAGTTGAAAACTTCAATGAAATGGATTAATTCCTTGAAAACAACAATCTACCAAAATCACCCAAGATAAAACAAGTAACCTAAATAGTTCTATAACAACGAAAGAAATTAAATTCATAGTTAAAAATCTTGCCAAAAAGGAATCTTTAGGTCCAGATGATTTCACTGGCAAATTCCACCAAACATTTAAAAAAGAAATAACACTAATTCTACACTGTCTCTTCCAGAAAATAGAAATGAAAGAAATGCTTCCCAACTCATTTTATGAAGCCAGAATTAGCCTGATTCCAAAACCAGATAAAAACAATCCAAGAAAAGAATAGACCAATAAGCTCTCATGAATGCAAAAACAAAAATTCTCAACAAAATATTAACAAACAAATTCAACAATATAAAAAAAGAATAACAGACCACACCAAGTGGGATTTACCCCAGGAATGCAAGGCTGGTTCAATACATGAAAATCAATCAATATAATACACCATATTAACAGTCTAAAGAAGAAAAATAACATGATCACATCAACTGACACAGAAAAAGCATTTGACAAAATTCAAAATAGAATCATAATAAAAACTCTCAACAAACTAGGAATAGAAAGGAATTTCTACAAAAAACCTGTAACTAATACCATCCTTAATAGTGAAACACAATGTTTTCCCCTTAAGATCAGGACATCAAATATGTACACATTCACCACTCCTACTAAACATCATACTGGAATTCTGAGCTAGTACAGTTAGACAAGAAAAAAAGAAATATAACTCTTCCTATTTGCAGACAACATGATTATCTACATGGAAAATTACAAAGAATTTGTAAAAAATTCCTGGAACCAATAAGTGAATTTAGCAAGACTGCAGGATACCAGGACAGTGCATAAAGCAATCATATTCCCATCAACAAGCAATGTACAAGTGGAAAAATATTTTAAATACTATTTAAAATACCTTCAAGAAAAGAAATATTTTGGTATAAATATAATATATACAGGATCTGCAGTCTGAAAACTACAAAATGCTAATGAAAGAATCAAGGAAGATCTATATAAATATAGATAAATACTGTGTTCATATATTAGAAGACAATATAGTAATGATATCAGTTCAACCCAACTTGACCTATAGATTTCACACAATTCCGATCAAAATTCTAGTAGGAGTTTCTTAGATATAGACAAACTGATTCTAAAATTTATATGGAAAAGTAAAGGAACTAGAATAGCTAAAACAATTTTTAAAAAGAATAATAAAGCTGGAGGAATTACACTACTACACACTACTTGAAAATCTAAGATTTACTATAAAGTTACAGTAATCAAGACACTGATACATTGGTGAATGGATAGACAGATCAAGTAAACAGAAACAGACCCACACAAACATGGCCAATTGATTTTTTATAAATGTGCAGAAGCAACTCAATGGAAAACAGAGAGTCTTTTCAACAAATGGTAACATCACCCTACACCATTCCAAAGTATTTAAATCTTAAATATCTTTCAAAACCATTCACTGTTTCTCACTACTACCATTACCTCCCAGTCCAAGCTACAATCATCTCTCCTCTGGCCACTGTGATCGTCTATCTACTCTTAACATCTATCTTAATATGTTGTTTACCATACTGCAAGCCAAATGAGCTTTTAAAAAATGCAAATCTGACCAAGTTACTCCCTGCTGAAATTCTTTAGAACTTCCCATTCCTCTTAAGATAAATACAAAATTCTCTTGATATGATTTAAAAGGCCATGAATTGCCAGGCTCCTACTATCAAACTCTCTAGCCTCATTTTGCAGTACACTCTTTCTTTCACTCCATTGTGCTCTCCATACTCCTTCCCATCTAAGGACCTTTGTACATATTTCCTCTACCTGTAAGCTATTCCTTTCCTTCTCCGGATTTTAGTTCAATCTTTACTTTTTCTAAAAAAAGCCTCTCCTGACCTTTCTATTAGTGCAAATTCCTTTATTATAGGTCTCTTAGCACTGTGAACTAAACTTTTATTGCCCTTGTCACCACTGTAATATTACCTTTGAATGACTGCTTGTATTTTAAGTGTGATTATTTCATGACTTAATTCCACGAAAGCAGGATATGCATCCATTTGCTCCCCACTGTATCTCCAGAGTATAGCATAACAGGAGCTCAACAAATGCTTGCTAAGTGAGTAAATGTATTATCTTATTTATCCCTCACAATCACTCTAGGAGATATGTACAATTATTTCCCCCATTTCATAGATGGAAAAACTAAAGCATCAAGAGTTTAGGTAAATTGCCCTAGGTCATACGGCCAAGAAGAAAAGGGCTGGATACCAATTGAAGCATTGTGATTCTAAGGACCAAGATATTAATTATGTTCTGTTGCTGTGCAAATATAACAAAACCCTAAACCAATCCCTGCCCATGTAGGAGTAAATCTTTATAGTAAAAACAATGCTTCAGTATTTATTTATTCAACAATATTTACAAAGTGCTTATAAAGTGTTAGGCACTGTGCTAAGTACTGGGGTTACAGGATAAACAGGACATAGGTTCCTAGCCCTTATTGGAGCATATACTCATTCTACTATTTATTTACTATGTACCTACTATGTGCCATCTACTGTACTAAGTAAGGGGGAGTCTAAAGGGTGAATAAAGCTTTAAACAATTATACCGAAAATAAATTAATTTCATTTGTGTTAAGAGCTATAAAGAAAAAGTTCAGGGTGCTATGGGAACAAGCCATATAGAGTCCAAAACTAGCTAGGAGTATCAAGAGAGGTTTCCTAAAGAATTGATATTTAAGTTGATACTTGAAGCACAACTATGTACTATCAAATATGAAAGCAATATAAACATTATTATTATTTACAAGAGTTTGTGCAAAAGCAATTCAATGGAGAAAGGATAAGCATTTAGAATTAATGTTTCCCAAGAGACAGAAGAATTAGGAATTGCAAAATCAGGTAGAGATGTGATAGGTTAAACTCAAAATCAAATATCTGTAATCATCAACAATATTGTCTTCTATAGCAAGAGGTGGCAAACCACTGTCTGCGCCGAGACAAAACTCAGCCTGCAGTCTCTTTCTGTAGGCCCTTGACCTAAGAATGGTTTTTACATTTTTACGATGTTGTTAAGAATAAAGGAAGAGAGAAGGAGGAGGACAAGGAGGGAGAGGGGAGCAGCAGGAGAGAATTAACATTTTGCATATAGCCCACAAAACCTAAAATATTTACTATCTAGTCCTACAAAAAAGTTTGCCAACCCATGCTCTACACACTATAATCAACTAAAATATAATGAAGACTTATCCTAAAAAATTCATTAAACATGATTCTATACAAACACTAAACATAAGTACTGAATATATATCTTACATATCCTTCTCAAAATTGCAGCTTTGTACCTCAAAGGTATCAAAGGCACACCAAATTTACAATCAGCTACATAACATGCATATTTGATCCTACTTAAATGCACTGTCAACATACGTTCAAATAATATAAACAATTTCAACAAGACAATTATCAAGATGTAAAAAAATTGGTATAGATAAGAAAGTGGCTTTACTAAAAAAACCAAATGTAATTTTTTATATTTTACTTGGAAAAACTAGCAAAAGAACATCCCTAGTGTGAGAGTCTAAGTCAGTGGATTCAATATTATTTCTAAAAGTAATTGCTATATATAAATAAGAGAGAAACTACATACTTACCAAGATTTTTTTCAATTCTTCAACTTCTACTTCTTTGTTATTTTCAAGTTTAGTCATCTCTTCTAAAGTAAGCAAAAGAATACAAAAGTGTTAAAAGCTGGACTAAAAGAACAGGAAAGGAGAAACAAAAAATAAGATGATACCATTTGAAAGGGAAAAACCAAAAGAGATGGGTTAATGCAACTAGAGCACCGTAAAGGATAGAGGAAGTCCAAATGGAGCTGATGAGGATTTTTAGGCTGCTTAATTTTAAAACAGTTTATGATGAGGATTTTTAGCCTGGTTAATTTTAAAACTGCAGATGAGAATCAGGCTCCAAGGAGCGGAATTTGCTTGCCCTTTGATCAGAGACAATTGCATTTGTGAAGAAAATCTCCATGCCTCCCTCTCTGCGCCAGGAGGAAGGGGGGATGGCCTTATCTCTGGAAACTCTTAATGGGGAAGGCAAGAACTTAAGTTGTTTACTGTCTGGCAACCTCATGTAACTGACCCCCCACCCCAAAATCCTCCTTTGTCTTTAGTTGAAGATAATATTTGAGCGGTGACTTCTGCCATTTACTCAATCCGGTTTGATTCTTATCTAAAAGTTGTGGGACCGCCCAATGGCCGGACCCTACCGGCACTGGTACCATTTTAACTTTTTTTCCTTTGTCTTGTAAAGAGATGACTCACATACCCATGCCTTAAATTTAGCCCTAACCCTCAACTCGGGGCAGCAGCAGGAGCTCTGACTGCCCGTGGGTCCTGTCCCCACACACCAGCTCTGCCTGCCCATGGGTCCTGTCCCCATGCCAGTAGGGGCAGCAGTGGCTCTGCCTGCCCATGGGCTCTGTCCCCATGCCAGCGGGGGCAGCAGAAGCAGTGGCAGCAGAAGCTCTGACTGCCCATGGGTCCTGTCCCCATGCTATTCTATACTATTCTCTAAATAAAAGAGCACTACTGCCAGATCTTGAGAGTCTAAGAAATCTTTCTTTCGACTCCTCGGCTCACCGACCCTGCATCAGAGCCATGCAAAAATAATAATGGTTAAATATTAATAGTAATGTTTCTATAAAGTTAATTCCATGACCAAATGAGCCCAAAGTCCATTAAACAAAATAAACAAAAAATCTATATAAAATATTTTTGGAATGAGGCCACTCAGTATATGCCTTTACCTTCAACTCATCACTATCTAAACGTTGGCCTCTTAATCTTCACTCCAAACTCAAAATGAGAAGTGATCCACTTTTCTCAAGCTAACTGATTACTGTAATCTGGATCTCAAAGTTTCCACTGCCTCTGAAACTTTAGTTGCTATTATTACCAATATACATTTGACTCTCTGTAGAGCAATCTTTAATTTCCCCCATCCCATCTAAATAGCTATTTGAATACGAAACAAACATATCTGATTGACATTTCTGCCCTTTCATACTGCTGCCAAATTTCTTACTTTGTTTTACAGAAAAATTCCGGTTTGTTACCTACACATTTCTTTCTTAACCTCATGGAAAATTAACGCCTATCTCCATGACATTAATAAAATTACAATCTCAAAGATCACCAATAACCATTTTGTGGTGCAATTCTCAGTCATCATCATTGTGGAGCTTTCTGGCATTTGATACTATTAACCACTCACTACTTTTCTCCCTTTGATTTTCAAGGGCTTGCATTATTCGAATTTCCTGTTTCTTCTCTCACTCTGAATTCTGTTTTCTTTGCTGACACCCTTCCTTCTTGTCACCCTAAATAATAACGTTTTACAATGCTTTTCTTTCTATACCTCCATGAATTCAACATTAGGCTAACGAATTTTAAAATCTTTCCAGCCCAAACCTCCCACTTTTTTCTCCTGTCTTACATTTTTAAACTGCCTATATCAAAGTTTCCAAATGATATCTAGCTGTCACCTAAAACTTTATTATATCTGTAACATTGTTCTTCCTCACTGTTAAGAGTTTTTAATTATAGGAGATATAATACATTTACTGAAAATTTCCCACTCTGTACATTAAAAACAAACAAAAACTTGTAATAATTGCCCACGGTCTTAAAGAAAAAATCAGCAAAATATGAAACTCCAACATAGAGTCTAAAAGAAAAACCTATCACATGCAAAGCTTATTTAACAAAAAAATTTCAGTTTAGGTAAAAACAGTTAATTTTTTTAAACTCAAAGATTTGTTAAAGATAGTGGAGTGAACAGGTCTCCACAATCTCTCTCATCCCTAATCCCATAAATTTTTTACAAGACATAAGAAGAAAAAAAAAAAAAAAAATATATATATATATATATATATATATATATATATATATATACACACACATACATACATAGAGAGAGAGAGAGAACAACATTAACAAAACCAGACAGACTACCATTAACAAACCAAAAAGCTGAGGAATCCTTGCGGGGGGCCATGAGGGGGACCCACATTAATTCAATAAAGGCCATGTGGAACAACTAGGCCAGATGACCACACCTCCTCACCACACAGGCCACCTCAAGTTAAATCAAGGATTCTGGAAATTGGAGCCAAAGAGACACAGAGACACAGCAGTGCCCCAAACAGCTTATGATCTCTAAGCAAAATAAACATTCCCTATACCCAAAAGACAAACTACCAAGTCTACCTTCCTTACAGCACCTCCCATCTCTCCCCCACAATCAGAAGAATCAGATTATAACATATATAAGTGTGAAGATGGATTCTCACATACTTAGATGAGTAATCAAGAATCAACAATTATGAAGAAAAGCAAAACCATGAGAGACAGGCACCAAATTCAATTAAGAGAAGAGCTAAAATAAAACCCAAGGAGAAAGAATTAATAGAGCAAACGGAAGCAGATATTTTGCTGGGTATGTTCCAACAGGATACTATATCCATGAAATAAATTACCTAGAGTTTTTGGAAATTTAAAATTTGACAACTAAGATCTTTAAAACAGCAAAATAAACATAACTAAACATGGATTTTGCAGGGGGAAGCCAAAAAGCATTTTTCCCCGAATTTCCCAGAAAAATAATCAAAAGGTAGAAAGCATAAAAGAAAAATTTAAAAACACGAAAGATAGATGTAGAATTTCCAAAATCCACTGATCAGGACTTACAGAGAGAGAGAAAAATAACACTAGAAGAAAAGAAATAAGAGAAGGAAAAATTTCAGAGCTGCAGACAGACGAAATGTCCTCAAATAATGGGTTCACCAAATGCTAGCAGAAGCGTGATATGATTCCATTTTTAAGAGATATTCTCTCATACCTGTACCATTCAAATAGCCTCTGATCTGATTTCCCCTCTTCTACTCTTTCCTCAGTACCAGCATTTCCCACCCACCACCAAATTTATCTTCCATATAGAAATTACAGTGATCTTTAAAAACATAAACCAGATCATGTCATTCCTCTACTTCAAATCTTTCAATGGTTTTCCTTCATTGTTAGAATAAAATCAAAATTCCCTTCCTTGGCCCTGTTTGGTCCTTATCACCTCATACTCATTTCATTCCCCTTTCCTTATCACTTCTTACACTCAATCACAAAAGCCTTCATTCACTCACTTGTATTAGGAGCTTCTTCACACCTCAGGGCATTTCTTACATACTTTGCCTTCTGACTGAAAAGCTTCCCCCAACTCACATGCTTTACCTAATCAAATGTCACTTACTTTTTAGGTCTCAGCTGAAAGCCATCTCTGATCACAAAATCTAAATTAGGCCCTATTATTTTCTAATATTGTGTCATTTTCATTTCCTTCATAGCACTTATCCCAATTTGTAATTAAATATTTATTTGTGATGCTTTTTATGTCTCCCCAAAGACCATGTCCGTTACGTTCCTAACTATATATCCAAAGATAAATGAGGAATAAACATCTAGGCCTAAATTCAATAATTATTATATTATCTAGTAATCAAAGAAGAAGCAATAGAAAACACTAGAGGGAGAATCTGTTACATAACAAGAGTGAAAGCAAACATGGGTACAGATATGGAAAAATGACCACAGGAAAAAACCTGTTTAGAGCAACATTAGACTGAATTGAAGATGGAAGACATATGAAGAAACAAAGTAAAGAAACTGAGAAAAAATTATTTGACAAAGATTTTGTAGTTACAGTTGGCTTTAACTTACATGGTATGCACTACCTCACTCTTTAAGTAGCAATGAAAAGACAGCTGATATTTAAAGGTTTGAACTTAGGCAATGAGATGGCTCTTCCATTTGCAACACAGAATAGTCAGATTTGTATGTGTAAAGGAACACTCTAGCATCAGTGCAGAGAATGAACAAAAGGTAGACAAGACTAGAAACAAAAAGAATGATTCTCAAGCTATGGCAATTAGTTCTCGTCAGAGATGTCTGGTCCAGATCTAATGCCAAGATACAAAGGGTAGAGCAGGCTGTATCTGAGGAGTACACAGAAAAAAGTCGTCTTAGGATGAGTCAATGATTCAAACAATGGAGGCAAATGCAGGAATACTCTACACAAGATGTAAGCCTAAGAAAATATCAACAAGGAAGAATACAAAGTGTAGCCAGGAAACAAAGCAGTAAGAATGAGGGCTAATGCAGTAAGACAGAAGCTTAGGAAAGAAAGGCAAAGCAAATAGAAGCCTAGTAAATACAAGGGATGAACAAAAGCAAGGACAAAGTAGGGTAATCTGTAGCAGAGTTTGATGCTTAATCTGACAAATACAATTCGTGTTCCATTATGTTACTCACACGCCTCCTCTGCTAGGCTAAGAGAAAGTGCTTGAAACTCTAAAAACTAGGAAAGAGGAAATGAGGACTTGATCTGCTCTAGGTCTGTGGAGATGAAGAAAAAGTGAAAGATTCAAAAGATATATAAGAGTTAGAAACTCTTAAATTAGTTAGATTTTATGAGCTAGATATTAAGAGTTAGAAACAACAGCATTGGATAACTAATTAGAAGTGAAACATAAAGGAGAAAGAAGAGTATAGAATATCCTCCAAAATTTTTGGTTTGGAGAATCACACTATTAGCTGAAGAAGGAAATACACTAATGTTGAGTACATATATCATTGTTAATGCTCCTCTCTTACACATAATGCTTTCCACACTCCATCATTCTCTACAACTATCCAAAGTCTCTCTATAGCTTAAAGTCTACTTTTAAAATCTACCCTCTTCTATAAAGCCTCTTCCAATGCTGCAGTCCACACTGATACCTTCGGTTTCCTCTTGTTATCAGCATTAACACATCTCCACCAACAAGAAATCAAAATATATAAATATGTATAAAATGCAAAAACATTTATAGTCTATACAAATTTGCAAAATAGAAATTTGTGTATTATATTATTCATTATAAAATATATGAAAAGCATAAAAAATAAATAGAAATAGAAGTTCTAATATTTCCTTCCCTAATTCTAATAGAATTCTTGCTCACTCCCTATTTTGAGACACTGCTCTAATGGTTTTTGTGTTCAACCCTTCTCCCACAATAATTAGAGATTTCTTAAGAGCGCAGTATTTTATTTCTTGTATATGTTCTCACAGCACTTAAGATAATGCTAAGAAAAAAACACAGAACTGTTTCAAAGTTCCAGAACTTCTTTTCTTGTTTTTTTTTAATTAAAGATTGGCACCTGAGCTAACATCCATTGCTAGTCTTCTTTTTTTTTTTCCCCTCGTCTTCTCCCCAAAGTCCCCAAGTACGTAGTTGTATATTGTTTTAGTTGTTAGTGCCTCTGGTTGTGCTATGTGGGACACCGCCTCAGCATGGCCTGATGAGCAGTGCCACGTCTGTGTCTGGGATCCAAACCAGTGAAACCCAGGGCCGCCAAAGTGAAGCGGGTAAACTTAACCATTCAGCCATGGGGCCAGCCCCAAAAGTTCTAGAATTTCTTATCCGAACTTCTCATAATAAATTGCTCTACTAGGAGAAAAATCACATTATGCATTTAATTTTTTAATATGACAGTAATAGCCACTTAATTTCAATATGAGACTGAATTGTTACAAATAAATTTCCATTGAAGATATTTTAATGACTAAAATTATTCCTTTAGCCTACAACATTCAATTGAACAATTCAAAGAAAGTAGATATATGCAGTGATTTAAAACGGTATGCTATGCTCTAAAGGAAGATTTAAAAATTGGATGAAAAATGCATTTACAACCATTCTGATCTAAAATAATATTAAAAAATAAAATTATTTACCATGGGATAGGACAATTTTGGATACTCAAAGGTCACTCTAGTTTATAGTGGAAAATTAAGAATTGCAAAAGGAAAGCATAAATAGGGTTTATAAGTTCAACCAAATATCCTAACAAGACAATATTACTTACAATTATTTTAATTATACAAGTATTCAAAGCTAATAATAAAGCTTACAGAATATGATGGAGATATTCTAAAGAAACACCCATCAATTCATGAATTATTTTAATTTATAAAAACTAATTAGAAAAAATGTTTTTATATCTTTATAATTCTACACATTTGTAAATATAAAGCATAGAGTTAATAGAATTGGCTAACTAAATGGTCATAAATTCACAAAATAACCCCAGAACTTCTCTCTCTTTTGGCCATAAAAATTGTTCAATATTAACAACACCATATGGTAAAAAAGGATTGCATTTTCCTATAAGTTGTTCGTAATCCAACATGACTAATCAATGAAATTTCAAAATTCAATTAAAATATAACAGACACTTTCCCCTAAGAATTATTAAGGCTTCTGAATCCTAAAATAAGGAAAACAGACTACAAATATCTCTTAGGCTCCTTACAGTTCTAGATAGCTATGAACTGCATAATAATACTGAATAGTCTTTCTTAAGATTTAAATTTTCTATCTTTGAAAAATCAAATAAAAATTATCAAATAATCACTATTGGTAAACGACAGAGGAGAAACTATATTTTATTATGAAACAGGGTTTATGTTTTTTATAATTGGCTTATATTATCATGAACATGTTATTCTCAAAGTCTTACCCAATTCACTTGATTTCTTCTGAAGCTCCGCAGTAAGTATTTTCAATTGATCTTCACTTTTTTCCAATCTTGTAAAATATATTAGTTTACAATGTAAAATATTCTTTTAGTCAGAATTCATCTAGCAACTAAAATTGATGCAATTTAGCAACAATATCTTAGCACAGATTCACAGATTCAATTATTAAACATTTTTTGAGTACCTCCTCTGTGCCAGACAGGATAACATTTCAAAATAAGATATTACTATTATAAATACATCTTGCATATTAATTATATCTACATAAACCTGTAAAGGTTATGGTCATAATTTATCTCTTAGCTGTTGATGATATCAAATTAATGCATCCTAGAAAAAGACCGAATATGTTAACTACTATTATACTGAATTCTACCTTGCGAACAATATAAATACGAGAACTTGTGCAATTCACTTAACTCCTCTGGCTTCCCATTTTCTCATCTATAAAACTGAGATAATTGGAACAGATCACATCTAAGGTCACTTACAATTTTAAAATTTGAAAATTGCCTGGATGGGTCAATCAAGAATATGTAAGATTAGCTGAGCTAGAAAAGCTGGTTTTTCTGCCTTTGCCATGCACAAACAGTAGAGAAGAAATACTGCTAGGCCCAGGCCATGACTTCAGACAGAAGCTTGTTCATTTCTTTCATCCTACTAAACTTAATTAACCCTGATGCTAATAGAACAAAAATGATTACCTAGGCCTCAAAAAACAGCTTTATATGAATATTTCCTTAATATAAAGCAGTGAAAAACACTAAGTTTTTAACTCAAGTTTTAGACAAACTGCTATTTAGATGAAATACAAGTGAATAGTTTATTTTATATATAATCGTAGTCAATAATTCATTAATCCATTAATTTAATAAAAATGTTTTAGTACCTACCGTGTGCCAGGTTAGTTGCTAATTTTATAAATCAGAAAGATTACGGACCCCAGTAAAATAAACCACACAGCCTAAGAAGTTATTTCTATGAAGCTAATAATAATCCACAGTTTAATTAAATATGTCATATCACTGCATCAGCCCTTAGGAGTTTGTCTATATAGCATGACTCTATGGCAAAGCATGCATGGGGCCTATCCTAGAGAATATCTGCTCTCTTTTCCTAGACATCGGCCTATCCATTACAAACTTTAAAATGTATTCTCACTTTATACACAAAAAAACAGGCTTGGTTACAGTTGTTATAGTAATTACAAATCAATTGACATTGAATAGAAAATGGCACTAAATATTAGAACGAAATTGTTTTTATTCACCTAAATAAGAAATGTTTTTACCTTTGCTGTTCTGTTGTCAACAATTCTTTTAAGTTGCAGATAGTACTTTTAAGTTCAGTAACCACAAATGAATGAGCAGCTTTAGCTTTATTAAATTCTTCCATTTGAGCTTCTTTTTCTCCAGTGAGCTGATATATTTTTTTGGTTGCTATCTGTAAATCTTCCTGTAAAGCCTTTTGAGTACTCTAAATGAAATAAAGTACAAAACAAAAGCTATCATCCAAGCGTCTTAAGAAAGAAAGCTGAATTCATCTGCTTTCCTCCCTCCTTATCCTCTCACCCGCCTCCTCTACCTGACCGTGGCCAATCTGGAATGCCTACTCACTACTCTTGTTTCAATTCACCATTCTTCCAAAGCCCACCTATAATCCCAACCTCTCCATGGAGTCTTCCTGGCCAATCCACCCATGATGTTCTTTCAATTCATAGAGCTACTGCAGCAATTTTTGCCTGAATCACTGTTAGCACTTAGCATAGTCTTCCATTTTAGTTATACTTTTGATGTGTTTTTATCCAATGTCTCTAAACTATAAGCATTTTGTAGACTGGGATTGTATCATCTCTATTTGAAGCTCTGGGTCCTTGTACATAGCATTAGCATTGAATAAATATTTGTTGACTGATTGATAGTGTGGGGCTTAACACACACTAATTAGTTTCTAAATCATACCATACTTCTTTGCAAAGACATTTTAATATCTTCCAGTTCTGACGTCAAATGATCCTGCTTCTCATTTGATTCTTTTAAATTTTCATTCTGTAATTCTAAAAAAGAAAGTTGTAGATAGATAGTACTTAACAGAAAATATATACCAAGAAAACAAATTACTTGTAACAATTACTTTTTTTCCTCCCTTTGGTACTCCAAAATGAGGGAGAATTATGCAAGTATAGATGCACTGATACTGGTCATCGCCAACTTTTATTCACTTTTCAAGATTATCCCCCAAGCACTCGAAGGTCAATATATAAGGATTTTTGGTGCTACCTTTTTTTTTTGTTTTGAGGAATATTAGCCCTGAGCTAACATCTGCCGCCAATCCTCCTCTTTTTTGCTGAGTAAGACAGCCCCTGAGCTAACATCCATGCCCACCTTCCTCTACGTTATGTGTGGGACACCTACCACAGCATGGCTTGACAAGCGGTGCATAGGTCTGCACCCAGAATCCGAACCAGCGAATCCCAGGCCGCCAAAGCAGAACATGTGAACTTAACCACTGCACCACCAGGCTGGTCTTGGTGCTAATTTTTAATAAAAGCTAAACATTGGAAACAACCTAAATATCCAATAGGAGATAGATTAAATTATAGTAGTACACATACAATGGTATACAACATAGCCCAATGCAAATGATAATATAGACTTTATTTATTGATTACTAATTTGGGTAGTCATAAAATATCATAGAATAAAAATAGCAGGGCCAGCCCCATGGCCGAGTGGTTAAGTTTGCACACTTAGCTTCAGAGGCCCAGGGTTTCACCGTTTCAGATGCGTGGACATGGCACTGCTCATCAGGCCATGCTGGGGCGGCATCCCACGTGCCACAACTAGAAGGACCCACAACTAAATAATATGCAACTATGTACTGGGGGGATTTGGGGAGAAAAAGCAGAAAAAAAAAAAAAGAAGATTGGCAATAGTTGTCACCTCAGGTACCAATCTTTAAAAAAAAAAAGGCAAGTTAAAAGACAGTATTTATATAAATAGTGCATGTGAAAGGAAAGAATCCACACAAAAATATTAAATGTCATTATCTCTAATGGTGAAATTATTCATGATTTTATTTGCATATTGTCTACCTTGATTTTCAACTTTTTCTAAAATATCACATTTATTTATTTAAATATTATGGAAAAAAGCCTTTGACTCCACTTAATTGCTAATATTTAACTAAATATTTAGTGCCAGGTACTAGTTTATGTGTTTTATATGTGTGCATTCACTTTTACACCTCAAAAAAACACTAGCGGAAAAAAGAAGTTCATGTTCTTCCCTGGGTTCAAATTATACTATTTCCTCTCACTAGCTACCTAGCCTTGGGCACAATACTTAACCAGTCTGTCTCTACTTTTCCCACCTGGAAAATAAGAACAATGATAGTTATTCATATCTTGAAGCGTTGCTGTTAGGATTAAACAAGATAATGCAACTTAAAATGTTTAACCACAGTGTCTAGCATATACTCAATAAATATTAAATACTATTATGATAATGATAATGATGGTGTATGCTAGAAAGTAGACCTTAAAATTTGGTATTTATAATATAATTAGGAGGGAGACATATAATCAATGATAAGTGCTGATGAGTACTCACTAGAAGCTCTGGGAATATATAGAGGGGGGCACCTAAGCAAATAGGATCAGTAAGGGTTAGAGGTGAGGGGAGACATACAGAGAGAGGGAAAGTTCAAGGAAGGCTTCCAGAAAGTGACAGCTGAATTGAAACATGTGAAAGCCAGTAAGAATTAACAAAAGTAATGACAGTTGAGGGAGAAAAGAAGATCACAGATATGTGAAAGAACATGTACAAAGGCAAAAATGGAAGAGATAGGATGACACATTCTGCAGTCTAAAGAAAATATATTTCAATGTCATGAAACAAAGTATGAAGGAGAAATCATAGCAGATATGATAGGAAAGATAACAAAGATAAGATCATAACAGGATTTATATGACTTGCTCAGAAGTGTACACTTCATAAATCATGAAGACCATTTAAAACAATGAAGGAGCCAGCACTGATGGTCTAGTGGTTAAAGGTCCATGGTCTCTGCCTCAGAAGCCCGGGTTCAGTTCCCGGTTGCAAAACCACACCATTCTGTCACTTGCCACACTGTGGGTGCTGGCTTACATAGAAGACCTAGAAGGACTTACAACTACAATACACAACCATGTACTGGGGCTTTGGGGAGGGGACAAAAAAATAAGTAAAACAAAGAAGGATGTTAAGCAAGAGAATGATGTTTCAGATTTATATATTTTTTAAAATTCCATTCTGAAAATCTGTATAAAAATAAAAGGCTTAGTGGTCCAACTCCGAGAAAAAAATAGGAAAAGTAGATCTGGAGAAAGGGAAATGATAACTAAAGACTGTTGTGTCCACTACGATACTATTTATTATAGTCTACTATGTCTCCTCTGAGAAATTAAAATCATAAAGAAGTCCTTAGGCATGTGTGGGAACTGAATGTATGCTGCCTGAATACTCTAAAAAGATTCGAGTCAAAACTTGATTTGAAGTGTCCCTAAGTTCCCCCAGGATCCCAGAATCTGCAAATGCAAATCTTCTCTTTAAAAATATACTTTCAATCCAGGCCTTAAAGAATTTCCAAAGATGAAGTTACATGACCTCAAAATCAAAAATCACAAGAGGAAACAAAGCACCATGAGCAGAGTCAGCAGAATGAACAAAAGGCAGACTTTGATCTGCAAGGATTTCAGACGTTAGAATTACCAGCTACGGATTAAAAAATAAGTATTATAACATTTTTTAAAACCTAAAAGGAGTAAGGAAGATACCCATAAACTAAGCAAAACTCCTAGAAATGACATATATAAAATTGAAGCTGAAACTTCATGGGGATACTGGGTGAGGTATATCATTCAAAGAAGGACTCCACTAAAAAGGAATAAAAATTCAGGATCAAATATTAAGAATATAAAAATCATTAAACTTCTGACAAAATAATTAGAAATTACCAGGGAAAAAGTGAAGGGAAAATAGAAATCTGAAGAAGCAAGATGAGTCCAGAACCCACTTTTGCCATTTGCAGATCCTGGCAAAGTTGGACTTTTGATTTGAAATTATGATGGGGTAAGGAAAACAAATATGAAAACTTAAAGGCTCTCTAAGGTAGAGAATCCAGGAATTAAACATTTGCACAATAGGCTGGAATACTTTTCATGTAAGGAGGAAGTAAAAGTAAACCAAGCCTCAAGCAGATTTGCAACCCAGGTTCACATTGCACCAGAAGGGTAGAGCCATCATCCACATGGCAAAAGTAAATGAAAATCCTCCCACAAAGAAGTTACCTACATACTAAGCAGACCTTAAATTATTCCTACAAATAATTTTTTCAAGAAAAACACTGAGCATGTAGTCGCAGACAACAAGGTACACCAGAAACCAAGGCACTTTGACCAAAAACTATCAGAAACAAAAGACAGTATGAGGCTCATAAACATTTAAGATTAAGAATTGTCACAAAGGAACTATAAAACAGCTATTCTTAGTATATTTTTTAAAAAATAAGAAGCAGAAAAATGACATAAAGTAGAATAGCAGATTCAAAGAATAAGACCTTAAACATTTTAACAACTGAAAATAACATGGAAGGGTTCATTGTGAGTAGGAAACAAATGAAGAGAGAATTAGTGAACAAGACAAGTGAAAAGAAATCCAGAATAAGGCATCGAAAGGCAAAACTGTGAAAATATGGAAAAGAGATTAAGAGTCACAGAAGATAGAGTTAGAAAACTAACATATATTTTACTCAAAGTCCCAGAAAAAGAGGAAACAGAAAATAGAGCAAATACAACATTTGAAGAAAGCAATAAAAAGGATGCTAATTTACAGATTCAAAAAGCTGTAAAATAAATTACACTCATATCTTAACACATCATACTGAAAATGCTAAGAATCAAAAGCAAAGAAAATCTGAAAAGCTACAAGAGAGCTTATCTTATCTTCAAAGTTTCAACAGTTAGATTGACAACTGATTTCTTATAATCAACAAAGGAAGCCAAAAAAGAAGCAGGATGATATGTTCAGTGTATTAAAAGAAACTTCATAGTGTGCCAAACCAGAAATAAATATGCAAAAATCTCCTTTCTTTTTTGAGGGAATGAATAAACAAATGAGAATGAATAAATAAATTTTCAGACAAATAAAATGGAAGAGAGATCACAAGCATATCCTCACTAAAGAATATTCTAAATATTCCTCTTTAAGGCAGAAAGAATACGATTGAAATGAAAGGTCTGAGATGCAAAAAAAGAATTAAGAGCAAAGACAGAGGAAAATATATAGGTAAAACCAAATAAACATTTTCTATATAAAACACTAATAATAATATCTTGTTTATAAAATTACAATACACAACAGAAATAGAAGGGAATGGAACTAAATGGAATTAATGTTCTAAAGTCCTTGAACAACGCAGGAAGAAGCTAAATGTATTCACTTTATACTTTGAAATGAAGTCAATTTATGTTGCAATCTCTCTAGGAACTACTAAAAAAATAGAAACAGATTATATAACTTTCAAAGCAGTCAAGGGAAAAAATTGGAATAATAAAAAGTAACGAAATCAGGACCTCCACTTCTGGAAAGATGGAGTAGAAATACTTTTCCCTATTCTTCCCAAGTCCAACCCCAAACCCTTGACATCATATATAAAATATAAGAAGACTTTGACAGGTGAAGAGAATGAGGCCAGCCAGAGACCTCTGGACCTGAGAAACAACATAGTGGTAAGACCACTGAGGGGGAGTGGGGGGCGGGGTTTGTTTGCTTGAGGTTTGGTTTTGGTTTGTTTTGTGTTTGCCTTACATGCTCCAGACTTAGAGCTAAAGAAGCTGGTAACCTGGAAACATCAATGGACATAGACCAAAAAAGCTCCAAAAAATATCTGCTCTCTCTAGCAAAAGGACAAGGAAAGGGGCAGCCTAACAAGAGTCTACACCAGCCAAACACTGCAGAAAAAACTGTGGCCTCTACCCTACCCATGCCACAAATGCCAAGTGGTGAGTCTAGGCTT